CAGCCAGGACGAAGAGAGCTGAAGAGATGTTTAGTTTAAAGGCGAAACAGACTCTTTGGGTGTCCATTTTCAAAATGTTTCTAATTATACACTGATTAGAATTTTGTAACCGAAGATTAGTTTACCAGTGTGTCGGATTTTAGTTTCGATATTCTACCTATAGGGCCGGGCGTGCATTCTGGTGTTGCTATAAATATGAATTATAAGGTAGGTGCGGATGCCTACGATATGGGTCATCATGATATAAGGATAAATAAAAACACCTGTTATTCTTTATGCAAATTTAATTATGCCGTTTATAGATATCAATAGCTGATGTTTTTTTTCAATTGTTAATTGTTTCCTTCACTTTCTTTATACAGGGTGTTTCAGATTTAAAGTGACATAGTATTGTGATGAGAATTAGAGCACACGTAGCAGAATTCAAGACATTCTCAAACTTAACCATGATTGTTAACCGTTTTTGAGATACAGGATGTTTTCAGGTGTTTGACTAAAACTGACATATCTCTGAAACGGCTGTAAATATTTGGATACAATTTGGTGCAAATTCTTTACTCTTTTGGTACAAACAAAAGCATAATTTATTTTGGAATAATTCCAGGATCAGACTCAATTTTCATAATGTTCTTCTAAGTACTGATTCAATCACACTGTGTGTCATTCTTGGTAAATGTTAGTAAACGTCTAAAAAATTAAGGAACCAGTGTATAAATTGGTTCATAACCTAAACTTAAATACTTAAACGAGGTAGGGATGATGAAACTGACTTTCTTCCTCAAAAGTCCAAATTAAATTTGCACTACTTTTATCACTTAGTTAACCTAAATTGTTTTACGGTTACGGAAACTGTATCAAAAGAAATTATTATTTTATTTTCATTTACAACTTAGATTAGCTAAGACTGGTGGTAAAAGGAAAGCAACTTATATTTTAATCCCCTCCATACCCATCAGTACGCCTACCAGACAGGAAAATCAACAGAACTAGCACTCAAGAACCTAGTCGTGAAGATCAGCCAATCCCTTCAAATGAAGGAAATTGTGGTGGAAGCCTTTCTCGACATTGAGTGAGCGTTTAATAATGCACTGCCCGACTCCTTATATGTAGCAGTGGCTGCCAGAGGAAATAAGCCTACCATAGGCGACTGGATTCGTGCAATGCTATCCAACAGGACCGTAACAACGTCTTTACAGGGAGAAACAGTTAAGTTTAGAGCCACAAGAGGATGTCCGCAGGTAACGAAATAGCCGACTCCTTGGCCAGAGAAGGAGCGGGATCACGAATCATCGGACCAGAACCGACACTTGGCATATATTTAAGTACTACTAAGATGGCTATATCAACATGGGCTGAAAGGAAAACTTTCCAGTATTGGCAAGAGTTACCAGGATTAGTTCATTCGAATGCGTTTATAAAATCAAGAGCTAAGAAACTTTTAGAGTCAAACAGGGTAAACCTGAAAACTCTAACAGGCCTATATACCGGGCACTGCCAACTAAACTATCATCTGCATAAACTCGGCCTAGCGGAAAATGCCGAGTACCGTCTATGCCTAGAAGATGATGAGAAGGCAGACCACATCCTATGTACAACATGTTCCGTTCCTCAATATTTGGGAAAGGGCAACTACTGCCAGAGGATCTGGACACATTCTCGCCCAAAAAAGTTATCAGTTTCGTTAAGAGACTGAACTTATTGGGTGAAATATAACTAGGTGTGAGCCACAATAGACCTTCTGAAGGCCGTAGTGGACGGTCCACAGGGACCCACTCGCAAGAAACCTAATACCTAATACCTATATTTAATAGTATAAATTATTATTAAAACGTCCGATTAAATACACCACGTTTAATAATAACATTTATTTATTTAGTAAAACTCTCTAAAGCTTTTATCAGGCACACACACAAAAACTTCTTCACCCTTCTCCTTTTACATATGACATATTGCAGCGCTGCCAATTCCCTTTTTACTCCCCACTAATTAGTGATAGGCTTGCCACCCAAATATTTCTGCATACCTATTTAAATAAAGATCATATTCACAACATAACATTATTATTAAATTATATCGATTTCGAGCATAACAGTAATTATTAATTTAATTTTAAATTCAGTTGATTTGTTTTTAAAAGGCCCACGATTATGATTATAATGTCACACGTGACTAATCGTAATAACACATCTAAAACTAATATTGACTCGTTTCATAATAATTATATAGTGATAACAAAGAAATGTTACATTCTTATATAAAATATAATATCATTCTCTGTAAGATGTATCATAGTTGCTCTATAATTGATACATTTCTACGCAGACTTTTAAACTTGTAAAGAACATGTTTTGTAACAAACTTAAAACCGTTTTATGTATTCAGTACATCAATAATTAATGCCCCAAATACGCAATGTGATTACGATATATTTACAAAACTTGTTGATGTTATAAATAAGTAATGGTGATAGATCATATATTACTGTTGTTATATAATAATGCCTTTCTTATAATTTTATAGTAAATTTATAAATATTAATGATGCAACTATACATATAAAGAGGATAGAATAGTGTGATAAAACAAGGTTCTCTAAAATATCCGAAGCTGTGATGTAACTGATCCAAGCTGATTGGCTGGGTTATTTCAAAAATGATTTACATAATATGAATAGTAAATTAAAATAAAATATACTTAATCATGGAATTTTAAGCGAGTCCAGCCCTGCACAAAACATTAATTTTTCAATAAACGTGTGTTTCTTGCGTCAAAAAAAAATAAAGATGCTTAATTAAGCAATAACTAATTAGTTATTCAATTTAAATTAATAAAATAATGACGTTAGTGTGTTATTTGATTGCGTTATTCGTAGAATTTAAAAGTTCGATATAAACGTTTGAGTTGTGCAACATGTCTGAATTTTTTAAAAGAGGCACATCTTGAATGCGAGGAAACCATATTCGTCTATTCTGCTACGGTCCAATAAAAAGTGGTCGAATGGGTTGAGATCGGGTGACCGAGGAGGCCAATTGGCCCACATTATCCAATACATGACAGGGAAATTGTTTAAAAAATCATATTACACACCAAAATATGCTGGTCTCCGGTGTGGTATAACATCCTCGATTAATAGTGGCAAACGATCAGTCAGAAATACCGAATATGATACTGAAATAAGTCGAATGAATAATGTGTGGTCCAATTACATAGTTATGCACTAATTTAACCCAAATGCTTACAGACTGACTATGAAATGATCGTTTTCATTCGAACTGAATGAGAATTTTCATCACACTGGTGAAATGCATTTGTGATCTCAATTGTCTAAAATTTGATTTTTTTTCTGGCCTAAATGGATATAGTAAATTTCACCTGGGTGTCCTATGGATAGCCAATGGATGCAAATGGGTTATGGTGGACAACGCATACTTTCACCGACAACCTCATTGAGAATTCGTTGCTCTTAAGCAGCCGTCGGTGCTCTGACCATCCCAAAAGATTTTTGCGTGGATTTAATATCTGTTCCAAGAAGTCTTTGTTCAATATACGCCTGATAACTTTTGGATCAGAATGACGACGTACAGAAAATAGTACTCTATTTATAGTTACAGGCACCTAACGCGTCCACGATTACCAGATATTGTTCCGACTGATTCCTGGCTTTTCTGTCTTAAAGAGGTCATTTTTCTTAGTGTATAAGTAAACCTGCAACCGGTTTCAGAGGTAACTATCTCTTTCAATTACTAAAAGAATGTAAATAATCTACTTTCTTTATTCTAATTTTGTCCACTGATTTGATTAAAATTTGGACAACCAGCTATCATAACCTCACGTGCTCATTAAAGTCACTAAACTTAACCACGAAATATTTAAGAATTTATGACAAAATTATTAAATTTTATAAAATATCAAAACAGCGCATGTAGATGAATTTTTTTAATTGATATAATAATGATATATCTAAACCTACGGCATGATTTTATCATCACATTACATGATTCTGTTTTCAATTTCCAAGTGCGATGCACTCACGGATAACAAAAATGTTTATAATTTAATTAGCAGGTGCATATATATAATTTTCGGATCGAGTTACACGGCCAAATCGTCTAGCTGGTATTCTTATTTATTTGTTGTACATTTTATACTCGTATGAGCCAAGATATTTGCAGCTCGATCCGTTGTTTATAAAGTTTCTTGTTTTTATTTGAGATTCATATTACACTGGTTTGGGTTACATGCAAGTCGCAGGAGGTAAACTGAGCGTAAAATATACTACTTGTACCTCATACTGAGGAATTGATAGCTGCTCGTTATATGTTTAAATTAATAATGAAAACTTCCGCTGTGGTTATTCGTATATCAGTTTAATTTCAAATATATTTCTAACAACAAATACTTACATGTACTAAAATATTTAAAAATTCTTGTATTCTAGTTGTTCAGTTCTCTTACGTATTTTTAACAAATAATACGGAACTTTGTTATCTTTATTATTATTGTATTATATTGTATTTGAAATATTGTTTTATCTATAATTCTAAAAATACACCGTGTCCCTGTTAACAACATCTCACATTCACTTTTCTGCCCGTGATATTTTAGTAGATTTTGTGAAAAAGTAAGACGTAATATTGACGTCGTATTTGTTGATGCATTTTTATTATTCTAATTCTGCCGTGTTATTTTATGAATACCTAATAAAAAAAGCACTCCCTCGTCGCCAGGATTGCCAATATAAACCTTAAACACCTTTAAGTTAAAAGATACCAAGAGTATCTCATTTTCAAAGTAAATGGCATAGATAAAGTAAGATTTTTTCTGCAATTTTGCAACAAAGAGGAATTATTAAATTAAATTAAACACCACAGGTAATACAACCCCCTGTATTCCTGAAGGAACCTCAAGGTACCTTGTGTGGGGGAGAGTTACACATTTATAGAGCCAATCACCCAATCTCTGAGTATGCTAGGATTCATTTCTGGTTTAGAAAAAAATCCTAGCTCCTCGACCAGGGATCGAACCCGAGATTCCAGGATAAAAGGCAAGTGTCTTTACCACTCGACCATGAAGCATCATTATAAAGATATTAAAAAAAATATATACTTCGGTTTTTTCTTTCGTCATTTTTGGAGCCTCAGTTCGAAAACTAAAAGTGAAAAAAAGAATATTTAGCTTTAGGTTACATTTTTTGTGGGATGGGAATATCGCTATATAAAATGGGACACTGAATTTAGAAACACCATTTATGCACAGTACCAGATTTATTTATTGTTAATTAATAATTACATTAATATCCTACAGGTCGCAATCTATCGATACAAAAAAAAATCAAAGCTTACACACATTTTCATCCACTAATTCTTTGATTTGATTAAAAACCTGGCACAATTTGCAGGTGTATGCTTTCATGCCATTGTATGTACATTTACCAAAACGTGTAACATGATACGATCAATATGGGTATTAGTTCTGCGTCATTAAATTGATTAAAATATTTTTGTAAATTCACGTTGAGAAAGAACACTGCTACCCTATAGGGTTATACATTACATCGAAACTCTTTTGAGCTATTTCTAGTCAAACTTACTGATTTTCCACCAAAGGCGTGCGTGGAAAATTCCACCGGGGTCAATTATTATGAAATAATGGAAAATCACTTTCTTAAAATTTGATATATTAGGGTTACGTGATGTACGAAAAAAGTTAAAAGACACCTGGTCTTTTTGAAAGTTGCGGGAACGAGCGGGGACAAATGAGAAGAAAAAATGTCTTTCAAAGGCATAAGAAATAACTTTTCGAATATAATTGGTGCTGGGAACTTGAATTGATATACTTTTTTTATGATATACTTATAATATTATTCTGCCGATGGAGACCAACTCCAGATACTATAACAGTTCCAGATTAATTACTTCAGTTACTGTGTGCCTTTTAATTAATTATTGTAATAATTTAATAATCTAGTTTTGTATTGTATTGTATTGTATTGTATTGTACTGTATTGTATTGTATTGTATTGTATTGTATTGTATTGTATTGTATTGTATTGTATTGTATTGTATTGTATTGTATTGTATTGTATTGTATTGTATTGTATTGTACTGTACTGTACTGTACTGTACGGTACTGTACTGTACTGTACTGTACTGTACTGTACTGTACTGTACTGTACTGTACTGTACTGTACTGTACTGTACTTTACTGTACTATAATATACTGTACTACACTGTACTGTACTGTATTGTATTGTATTATATTGTATTGTATTGTCTGATATCGTATCGTATCGTATTATACTGTATTGTATTGTAATGTATTGCACTGTGTTGTATTGTATAATTTTTAAATAATTTGAAATCTACTTACCTTTTTCTTTTTCTTTTTTGTTAACAACTGTATTTTTATTGTGTAAATTTATCCTGTAACTGGGTTTTTTCAACCCATTGGATATTTTAACTTAAATAAATAAATTAATTAATGAAGCTCGCCAAAACTTTTGAAGAAACATGGTAGAATGGTATTTACCGCAGTTTATTTTGATCTGGAATGTTATTGTTAATAAGTAAGAAACGAAAACAATATTTAAAAAAATCACATTTATTTGAATGTAATTGAAATACTTTTGATATGTGGTGTACTCTTTGCATAGATACTCTTTATCTTTTTAGCAAAAAAGTTTAACTCAAAAATATAAAAATCATCGTGCTATCATTTATATTTCACGAGGTCTTATGATTCGTTAGAGAGGCACAGTAGGCTTTGCTTTTATTTAAATTGCTGTGTGTCCGTTTCACAGTCCGCCTTCAGATACTGCAGAATTCGTTCCGGCGAAATGATTTTCAGCCAATCAGACTGTTGATATAATCAAATAAGAGGGTATATTTTGAGGTTGAATTGGTTGGAAATCGCTTCCTCTGATGGAATTTTATTCGGTCATATATTCGAAGCAGTTTTCGCTTACTCGCTTAAATTTTGTGAATTTCGCTAGCTGTATGTGAAAGCGGCCTAATTCAGTTGTATGTGAAAGTGGCCTCAACGCATACAATGAGCCAATTCACAACTGTGCCGTATGTCATGAATAAATTCATCATCCTAGCATGTCTAAAATTTAAACACATTATGAGCTAGATTTTTCACCTCCCATTAAATCAATTTGAAAAATAAGGCTCACTATCATAAACAATTACATATTACAAACTGTATCCAAGGAAACTGTTTACTAGATAAATTTAACGGGAGATGGTGGAGCGTTTCCTTGTACCTATACAATTGTATCAATAATTGTCTCCATGGAACTTATTTATCAAATAGATTTAAAGGGAGACCCTAATAGGGCAGTTTTTCCATCTCCCATTAAATTTATGTGGCACATAAATTCCATGGATACAATTATTGAAACAATCGTATTCAAGGAAGTTATCCACCAAATTAATTTAATGGGAGATGGAAAAACTGGCTCTAAATGTATAAAAAATGAACTTTGACCACTCGAACAGCGTTGATAAGAAATTTATCATGTGATGGAATTTGGCCAAGGAATTGCATGCAAGAATCAGTCCTCCAGCAATATTTTGTAGCAACAATTCGAGAGAAAAGTCGAAATTTTAACGTAAATATTCTGGCAATTGATATCTTATTGTATCTTTGAATATAAGTAGAGATTTTTTTGTCGCAAATAGATATAGAATGAGAGAAACGAAGAGAAATAAACATAGTGCGCAATAGTTTGATAAACTGACAAAGATATGAACGTTAGGCTGTGCCACCCTATATATACATTTTCGTAAAGATCTGCCAGACGTTGGCAATAAAAAGTTTTGCAGATGACAACATTTGAACAAGATTTGTTGAATACTGAAAATAGCGAGATGAAGGGTATAAAATATCGTGTATTTACGATGTCTGCTGATGGATATCAGTTGCACGCCATCTGTTACTTGATCCCGTATATCACCTTACCAGATCGCATTTCATACCCAACTTAGGCCCGTGCTTCGTACCTATTACATGCATTATAAATAACATCAAAAGATTAACAAGAAAAAGAATAATTAGATGACCGTTTTAATTTTGATCTTTAATATTTTTTTACACTTGATACGAATAGTCATTAAAACTAGAGGATATTTTAACATCGAAAATACTTTTGTTTTAATTTAAAAAATGTCTAATTGCATGTTTCCAAATATTGTATATTTGTGCTATATCAAGACACTGCTCTAAATTCCAAGTTAAAAACATAATCGCACTCTGTGAATTTAAAATTTCAACTACCTACCTACACAATTTTGGCTAATTTCAAATATAGAAGAGAATTGTGAAACTGTGTTGGACACAATTTTTTGTCAAAGGCAAATTAGTAGGCATTTAAGTTAAAGAGCGGGCTGAATTTAAAAAATGTGGTTGTGTATTTTTTTTTATTTATAACTCACCTTAATGTCGTCATTTATATTCTCCTTCTTAATCGAAATTTTCGTAATGGAAACCTCATTTGTTGCACTTTTTTCCATGAAAACTAAATTTAAAATAACGTAACCAAATATAAAACTGACACCAAAATCGCGTGTTATTTTTTGACAATAAATTATGAAGCGAAAAACTGCGCACAAGACTGAAAATATCGGTAGCAACTGTGAGGTATACTAGCTTAGCTTTTCAACAATGATGATTATTTTGGTACTCGAAGGGGGGTGTTCGCGCCAGTGTTTAAAAATTTAACGCGCAAACTCTTCGCGACTACGTGTGCGCGTCAGAGTTGTGACTTCCATTCTATTTCAGGAGTTACCGCTTTAATCAGTTCGCGATATACACAGTGGATCGGTTTTCATAAAATCAGTTGCTTTTTTTTCACATTTATTTCTTTTTAAGGAGGGATTAGATATTTACCGGTAATAAAAATACTGAAAAGGACAATTTCGATAATAGTGCCTAGCATTAATTTGTTTACTGTAGTACTTGGTATACCTACTATATTTGCGTTATTCTAATACGCCAGAGAAACTCTCAAGTGTAATATAATTTTTGGGCAGAGATAAAAATTAATTATCTTCGTTTTTAATTAAATACATCCTCAACTATTGTTCTGAAGAGAGACCAAATTGTAAGTAATTACAAGGATGACGATCTATTTGAGTTGTACCAATATGTGAAAGAGGAGTTTCACCAGGTGGCCGCAATCAAAATTTGTAAATCGCTCTTAACGAAAAACAAATATTATTAGGTATCTCATTTTAAATCATGTACAGACTTAGGTGAAATTACAGACAAAAATTAAATGTAAGTACTGTTTTTATTTTACTTAGTAATATGTTCACAGAAATACCAAGTAACGTTTCAATCTCCTGAAATGTTAAAAGAATATTTTTAGCTGAACTATCATAAAACCATTAGTTAGGTAATAATAATAACCCTTCTCAAAAGTACAGCAAATATCACCGCATCTCTAGTTGGTCCATATCACCAATCTCGGTGGCCCATGTCGCTGCTCAATATGTATTTGATCACTAGTTCACAGATGTCGCTGATCGCTTAATTCAATTTGGTTCCGAGTTTGGATTATTTATTTACGATCAAATAGCATATGCAGACATCCCCAAAATTGCAACTTAAAATTCCGTTTTATTGTAAATATTTCGATAGATGGAATCAGTGATATTGCGACCAATCCCTTCCAAAGAACCCACTAAAATCCGCTGTTTAGGAGATCCATATTGACGCCCGATTGTATATGTTTAATGCTGTTATCTGCTTCCATTCGTATATCGTTTTTATAGTTTTATACGAGAAAAAATAAATAAGATATAAAGGGAAGTAGTACTGAACCAGATTAGACACATAATGTAAGTTGATTAAACTACAAGATCTCTGCATGAAATATAAAATCGTGGATTGGAAACAATTTACCAATATGGTGGACTTTAGGGGATTGATCAAAGAAAATCGATACCACAAGGATATTTTGTTCACCAATTAAAATACTAGTATTCATAAAATGGGTTAAGACGAGGCAATTTTGGTCTTGCCACTGCTTATAATATTTATATCGAATACTACTTCCTATAAAGCGAGCAG